CATAATGTTGCCTATTGAAAACCAATCAATCAATCAATCAATCAACCAACCAACCAACCAACCAACCAACTAACCAACCAACAGACCAATCAATCAATCTTTCAAATAAATCAACCTCAAATATACCAAACGATATATCAGTGAATGGCAGTAGTAGTAAGTATCAATAGTATCCTTAGAAGTACGAGTCTTATCCTTAGTTTTATCAGTAGTATGTATCATGATGCACTTCTCATATATTAGCGATAATACGTACAAATTTATTGTTATCGCTAATAGTATCAACAATACTAGCAAGTAGTATCATCAGTGCAATCATAGATACAAGAGATTATTCAACTACAAAAGTTAGCAGTGATACAATGATATCACTAATGATATACGTTTGACTGATTGAGTATTATTAATTCTGTATCAAGTGATATACGTACATGTATTCATAAAATCGGGTGGTGTCAGTTCGTATTGTACGGTATTGTTCGATTGACTGATTGAAGGGTTGAAAGGAGCGAGAGGGACCGGCGACAAGAACATCATCATCATTCTAAGGTTGTCATCACTTTTCGAGACCATCGTCATCATCATTGGTTGATACATCATCATAACCTATCCACAAACACACACATCATCTCTACTGCTAGCGTCACTAATAACAACCATTTTAGATCCCTAACCTTCAGTAGAGCGTGACCATTTAGTTGGCTAGACTAAAAGTTAACTTACATAACAAGAATGATAACGACGACGATGATGATGCTAGCTATGATGAGGATGATGACGGGGTCGATGTGAAACTAATTCGTAGAAACTCTAAGGAAAAATAATGATAATAACAACGAAGTGATATAATTTTTGCATGTACATGTGTGTATACTACAGCGTACAACCAGACCGTACATACACACACACACACACATATATATATAGACACAAATTAATTCATGATTTTTATTATGGCCAAATTAAAATACAATTTTTCAATACAGTTAAATAAGAATTGTGAAAATAATATGGATACACACATACACACACACACACACACGCACACACACACACACACACACACACAACGTTTAACACAATTAATCGACTTAATTATAAATATTATTTGTAATATTACTCATAAAAATAGTAACGATAAATAATAATATTAGTGATCAAAAAAAAAACCTCTAACATCACAGCATTGTTTGATAGACGGTGTGGCAGACAAACACACACACACGCACGCACACACACAGACATAAATAAATATAAAATATGTACGAATAGTATGTATTATAACCATGTAAACAAACATAATAAGATCATATAATATATATATAAACACACACACACACACACATACATATATATATATATATATATATACATATATATATACATATATATATATTTATGTACACATGTTTGAGTGTACAACATATGCACACATAATTATTTATGTACACACACAATCTACGATCCAGAGCGTTAATCATTTATAAACAAATATAATACGTATGTATGTGTAGGATTTATATATATATATATATATATAAATAATTATATAATATATATACATATAATTATCTAAATATATATAATTATATATATATATATATACAATTTTTACAATTGTAATTTACGAAATTTAACAAAAATGACAGGATCAAGATGAAGGACTGAGGAGGAAAAGGGCAGAGCAGAGCAGAGCAACTCGACAAGACGTGACGATCATCTTTTAAAATAAACAACGCCAAATCACAACAACAACAACAACAACAACACGGCAACAATTATCACACCAAACAACAACAGCAACAACAACTGCTGCTGTATTATTATTATTAACTGGTGAACATCTTCTTTGATATAATTCAATTGGAGACTCAAACAAAAACAAATAAATAGATATATATATATATATATAAGCAAAAGAATGAATAATGAATAGATGAATGCAAGTTCACATGCGTATAAATATCATTTACTCCTCAATTCTGTACAGGATAATCATTAAAGGGACACACAGACCGACAGGCAAACAGACAGACATGAAAATAAAATCGAATGTTATTGCATGTTGTTCACAAATCGGGATAGGGACGCCTCGCCAGGATTGGGCGTAGGGATGGGATTGTTTGGATTGTTATTATTACCGCCGTTGTTATTATTATTACTGTTGTTATTGTTGTTGCTGTTGTTTGTAGGCTGTAGTTGTTGCTGCTGCTGCTGCTGGTACATATGATCCATGTATTCATTGGGAGTCGAGTTGAACCTCATCCTTGGGCCACCCATGGAATCGTACGAGTCCATGGGCTTGATGGACATAGCACCAACATTCCTACTCATCATCTGCTGCTGCTGCTGAGCGTGCATGTACGAAGGCGACAACATGGGCTCCACCATCCCGTCCGCGTGCATGCCCCCGGCACCTCCACCGCCCCCAACGAAGCCAGCAGCGCCCCCCATACCCCGCATCCTCTGCTGGTAGACCAGGCCGGAGTGGTGGTGCTGTGAAAACTGCTGGGACCTCATTGAATAATCCGGTCGCATTTGTTGTTGTTGCTGGTGATGTTGCATCATCATGTTGTAATGTTGCTGTTGTTGAGGGGTCATCATCATCCTGCTACTCTGCATCATTTGTTGTTGATGTTTGGGGAGCATGGGACCTCCACCCGAGCCCCCCATCATGGCACTCCCCCCTCCCCCTCCAGTCATCATCATGGAGCTTCCCGGATCATCCATCATCACTCCTCCTCCTCCTCCCTCCATCATCTGTGGAGCCATCTGCCTCATGCGACTCTGATGTGTGTGTGGTATCAAAGTGCTTTTATAATAACAATCTTTGAACAGTGGAAGGAAATACATGAAGACAGCGGAGCAATAAAATGGCAGTAAACATTCAATGAATATTATATTAAGTGAGAGAGAATGAATGCCAACCTGCTTCATCATGTTGGACATGACTTGTGGGTTCTGTCCCTTCATCATGCTGGCCACCACACCTGCCTCCTTCTTCTTGGCCAGCAACATGGCCATTTGATTGCTCGCAGATCCTCCCTGAGACGGCATGCCTTCCATGACTGACTGCTGCTGCATGGCGAGCATGTGCTGCTGCTGCTGTTGTTGTCTGTACATCTCTTCCTGCATGAATGCACTGGACCCCCTTCCGTCCATCATGTGGTTGTTGGTCGGACCGTGCTGCTGCTGCTGCATCATCATCATTCGCTGCTGCTGAATTGTGAGTGGACCGCCACCGGACATCATCATAGGATTTCCACCTCCCATCATCATCATCCCCCCACCTCCACCACTTCCTGCACCATAAACAGGAGGAACCTGCCTCTGCGTTTGAGCCATTTGTTCTGCCTGGTGGGCTGCCATCATGGCTGCCTGGTGAGGGGGCATCGACGGAGGGGGGGAGCCACCGAGGTGATGCAAAAATTTCCCGCCGTTACCACCATATCCACCACCTCCGTGTGGCGGACCCATAGCAGTCGGCGTCGGAGGATCTGAATTTGGAGGTGCGTTCGACAGAGGAGTGTGCTCTGCTCGATCGAGTGCCGGTTGTCTTTGCATGATGGCCATCCTCCTCCTCATCAACTGATTGTTCTTGAACTGAGCCTCTGCCTTCTGCTGCTCCAACTTCTGCTTCAAATTTATGCAAAACGGAACCGGACATTTGCTCTCCTTGCACTGCTTGGCGTGTGTCCAGCAGAGTAGCAGCAGCTGCTTGCATACTTTGCAGCTGTTGTCCTGGCGTCGTTTGCAAGTGCGAATATGCTGCATGAATCGTTTCATCTTCTGGCAGACGTTCAGTCGACAATTTGCATCGCGACAATGAGAAGCATGAACCAAGGAGGATATGTACGAGTTGATGGAGATGTTCTTGGCCTCTTGTGTGTTCGGTCCTTTCGAATTCTGTTGATCGGAGGCAAGGTTGTTGTTGGACGCATCGTTGCTCGAGTCCCCGTCAAGATCCAGTCCCAGCCGGGTCATCTGCTGCTTGTGGGGGTGGTCAGACTTCTTGTAGCACGACACGCACAGGTCATAATCCTGTATGTTTCATACAAATTCATTCATGGGTATCAAAATAAAACGCTGTAACACATAATATGAATAGATAATCACGAAACAACACGAGGTATCGAACGAAAGAATTAATCGCATTCAGAACTTACGTCACAGACACTGCAGTGATATCTGGTCTCGACATTGGCCTTGCAGTCGTTGCAACTGTATATGAATCCATCTCTGGCCTGGTTGTGCAGTTCATACAGCAGACCCATCGAAGAGTACTTGGCCCTTCTTAGTGATGAAAACTCGTAATGTTTGTCACGTGCCAGTGTTAAGAAGGCATCTCTTCCGTCCATCAGGTCGCAGTTCATGAGGGGGTCCACATCCCTAATCTCAACTGGACAGTTGTTGATGGGCTGTAGTCTTATTACAAAGAAGCCCTGGTGAATTAGGCGAAAGGACATATTGTTTGATGCAAATTTCAAAACTTGAGAAATTAGATTAAATAATCAACCAATCAATGAACCAATGAATCAGCCAACCAACCAACCAACCTCTTTATGCTTCTCCATAGTTGAGAGCAGCTTAGCAGAGAGATCATTGCCACAGTGCATGAGGCCAGTCTTGTTCTTTCTATTTGATGGCTTCTTACTTTTTGTGTTCTTCTTCTTCTGATTTCCACTTTTCTGCCCCTTCTTCTTACCAGCAAATGTCTCCAACTGAAAAATCAATCAAGATAGAGATAGAGAGAGAGAGAGAGAGAGAGAGAGAGAGAGAGAGAGAGAGAGAGAGAGAGAGAGAGAGAGAGAGGGAGGGAGGGAGGGAGGGAGAGAGAGAGAGAGAGAGAGAGAGAGAGAGAGAGGGAGGGAGGGAGGGAGGGAGAGAGAGAGAGAGAGAGAGAGAGAGAGAGAGAGAGAGAGAGCTACCTAGGAGCACAATCAATCAAATAAAATGAAACAACGCAACCACCGAGTTCATTCTAATGAATGAACTAACCAACAAACAAACAAACAAACAAGACAAACCTCAGCCCTGTCGTTGATGTCGCTTTCGAAGTCGTCGGTGTCCTGGGCAGCCTCCTCTTCAGCTCTCTTCCTCTTCTCCACCTCCTCCTGCTCCAAATCCTTTATGCACTCCTCCAGTATGTTCGGCCAAAAGTCACCTTCAAAGTAGGGCATGTCCGTCACCTGTGTTGTTGTTAACGTTCATGCAATTCATTGTTGAATAACTGTTGAATATTAACGTTAATATATCCGTGCTGATGATCAGTGAGGTCTTGTATGTTTGAGAGAAATAAAGTTATTCTAAATAAAATTTACTCAAACATATCTGAAATTATCAATCGCAATAACTAGTCAGCTACCATCGCAACAAGAGGAAACAAACCTTAGTGATATTTCCCTCAATTGCATCTTTATAAATATCTTTGTAATCGATGATGACTCGATCCTGGTAGGCCTTATCGAGCATCTTCTTGTACCAGTCCTGTAATCTTTTAGGTTTTGGGATCTTCTGATCTGGAGGGTGGCAGTGGAAGATGTAGTCATCACCTTCACTCGGAGGGCATGCCCAGATGTGGGCCCACTCGTATCTGAATGGTCGGTTGGTTGATTAGATAAGTCAGTGTATAATTAATTAAGTGAATTAGTAACTTTTAAAACTTCAAAATAAAGTACGTCTCATGTACCCTTGTATCTTTGCATACTCCAGGTAACCAATGAGTATTTCGTGGTAGACCGTGGTTCTCAGGTGTCGCGGCTGGAAGAAGTGCACACTGTCTAGGTAGGCAATGTACACACGTCTGGTGGGGTTAGGGAAAGAAACATGTAAATCATCTCTATGAAAATTTTACTCGATCAGTATGTTAATAACTCTAAAGTTGTTTGATGTCACTGAGAATGATTAGAAGAGAAAAAAATAGACATCTGAAAGTAACCGTGAATTGGGCATTGGACAATCAGACCCGTATTCCTGAACGTGCATGCCAAAGAAGCAGACGTCAATGCCGTCGATTTCTTCAAAAGCAAACATGGCTTTAACTCTGTAGGGGTAGCCCTCCGGCATCTCGGACCTGTTCACGTACCTTGCCTTCATGCCCGACTTCACTTCTACAACTTTGTCGTAACTGGACAGGACTCGAATTGTGACTTCACCTGCTCCTGAGTTTTTCTTCTTCAAGAGAGAGTTCACTCTCGTCTCTAGGTAAGTTCCTAATTTCGTCGTTGGCAGTCCTACGGAACAGGAAATTATAAAATTTAAGAGACAATCACAGTTAGGTGGATATTAAAAACGATCAAATTAAGAGAAATTAGAAATTACTTTTAGCAGAATACTTATTTTCCTTCCTCTTGGTCTGCAATGCTTTGAGGCAGTAGTCACACAAGAAGCCTTCAGGCCAAATGTTCTCCATGTGTAGGACACAGATCTTGTGCATCTTCCTATCACATTCCTTGCAATTCACGAATCTAGGTGGTGTGCAAACAATTGATATTAGCCATCAGGCACCTACTACCAGTGGAAAGATGATTCAACCTTTCCAATTATTTCTCTAACTAAATTAAAATGAACAAATCTAGAAAAAAATGTGGATAGAGAGAGCATAATACTGACTGTTCATGGTCCAATTTGTCGTTCTTCTCTCTCACAAATTGTCCTTTTTTGATTTTACTGGTAAGAAAAATTAATTATTTCAACAAATGAAACTATAAACAAGTACATCTAAATGATATGCTAATGATATGCTAATGATATGTTAATGATATGCAAGGAAACGAGATTACTAACAGTCCAGGCTGTGAGGGATCGTCAACCATCTCCACCTCTTCCCCTTGCAGTTCGTTGAAGCACTTCTCACAATATATGTACCTGTCATCAATATATATATATATATATATATTTATTATTAGATATATATATATATATATATATATGTATTTGTCAATTTACATGTACCAATTTTTATCTCGACAAATGAATTGATGAATGAATAAGTGAATGAATGAAAAAATATGTGATTAATGAATAAATATGATGATTGGTTGTTGAACTGATTGATTATAATATAAAACCAGATACCAACAAAAGCAAATCAAACAATTAAACCATAACCCTCACAAGCAATTAAACCGCAACCTTCACATGACAACATCATCAACAACTGCCCAACAAACCAACCTATCAAGGTAGTTATAATAGACTGTATCTCGAGGTATGGAGCAGAGTTGTTTGCCAAAACAGCAGAGGACTTGTGGCGAGAAGACGTGTCTTCGGCCACAACAGTAGCCAAGTGATATCATGGCTTCATCTATCTCGTTGTCAAACACCTCAGATAGCTGTGGCAAGTATTTAGACGATTGGAAGTAGGATGATTAGCCGACGTGATGAAGATAACAATGATGATGGCGGCATATTACATAATAACATAATGGAAATATTTTTAAAACTATCCAACATTATTTTAATTTTAATCAGGCTACAACATTGAAAACAAAAGTTCATAATTTTGTACAATTCACTTTCTTGACTGCTTATAATTTAAATAATGAAAAACAATGACAAATAAAATGTTACACAACAACAAACCAGTACGCCAACAGAACGTAAATGAAAAACTGACTTTGGAGCAATATTTGTAAACTTTGGAGGTTTTTCTGTTGTAGAGCCATGCATTGTCAAACATCAGTCCGACGTCGTCGATGAACTCCCAGGGGTTCTCGTAAATACCATTGTCCAACTTGTCCTTTATGGTCGACAGATCCATAGGGTGCTTGATGATTGCATGGTAATCCTGACGACATAAAACAAAAACCATTCATAGATGAAAAAAAAACTAAAAAACCTGATACTACAGATTAATCAATATAACTTTTCATCAACACATTCATGAAAATCTCGTAAAAAACTGAAACTAACGGGAATCCCCAGCCCAATGGGATCGACGGGATAGAGGAATGGTTCGCACTCAGGAACCTGCTGATACAATTTCTGTAGAACAGGCATTAGTGCTTGGCTCAACTCTTCTTGTGAGAATACTGCAATGACGTTGTTATGATGATAACGTTGACGTGATGCAGTGGTGATGATGATGAGTATAATGATGATGTTGGTAGTGATAACAACAAGCCATGAAGATTTACATTACCTTTCTTGCCTTTAGTAACTTCCAAAGTAGATATCTGCATGCTGTTGGAAACATCGACATTGCTGCTGTTGTTGTTGCTGCTGCTGCTGTTGTTGTCTTCATCACCATCAGCAGTTGTTGATGTCGTCATTGTTGTTTTATCATCTTGCATATCATTTGACGTGGTTTTTGTTGTCGTAGGTAGAGTTAGAGCTGAGGAAGTTGCTGCTGCTGATGACGATGTATCTGAATTCATCTCCTCCTTAATATCATCCTGCACCTCCATCTTTAAACTTTTTTCCTGACTACTCTCATCTGACTCCTTCATGCTGTCCCCAGTGTCCATGTGGCCATTAGTCATATCTGCCTGATTTTGATTAGTGAATTCGTTGTCGTCCATCAACTCCTTCTTTATGATCTTTTCGTCGTCGAAATCTTTTTCAATCTTTGTATCATTCTCTTCCTTCATCTCCACCTTCAATATGGATTTGTCATCAACTTCATAATCGTCGTCATTAATGCTATTATTACTATTGTTATTATTGTTGTTGTTAGCGTTGTTAATATTGTTGATAGTCGTTGGTGTGCTGTTGATGTTTGCTGCAGTTGTTGTCGTCGTCAGCGTGGTATTGAGAGATGAGTTACAACTACTGCTTAATGAATTGTTAACGTTGCAGTTGTTAAGAAAACTGTTGTTGTTGATGTTGTTGTTGTTACTACTGCTGCTGTTCATAACTGGAGTATCAACATTTTCTTGTTTGATTTGAAGGCAGATGTTGCTGATGTTGTTGATGATGTTGTTAGTGTTGTTGCATATGCTGTTAAAGTTGTTGCTATTATTGTTATTAGTGTTGCAATTGCTAATATCATTATTGTTATTACTGTTGTTGATGCAGTTATTATTATTATTGTTGTTGTTGATGTTGTTGTTGTGTTGTTGTCGATTCAACATAGCAGGACTGTTAGAATAAGCAGGAGATGCTAATAACGATTGTGTTGATGCAGCCGTAGATTGTAGTGATGATGATGAATTGTTGTTGTTGTTGCTGCTGATGTTGTTGTTGTAGATATTCGGAGATGGAGGTATGCTTGGTGTTCGAGGAACTGTAGCCCTCATGAATGGAGATAGTTGAGGGCCATCCACCAGCTGGTTGGTCGTTGCTGATGTTGCCGTCATTAAGTGTTGTTGCTTTTGAGAATTACTTTTGTTGTTGTTGTTGTTGCTGCTGATGATGATGTTATCTGCAGGTGATGGCGTGAAAGAGAGAGAAGGAGGAGGAAGTTGTGAGTGCATGTTTAAGGTGGAAGGCTGCAAGGAAGATGATGACGACGATGAAGACGACAATGACGAAGGAGTTGAACATGATGACGTTGATAAGGTTGTTGTATATGATGACGTTGTTATCAGCGGCAGAGTAGATAACGACGATGATGAAGATGATGATGGTGTAGAGGACGAAGATGATGATAACGTTGATGATGTCGTTGGCGTAGTGGCTATTAACTGTTGTTGTTGTTGTTGAGCAGAGTTAGAAGGATGGCCACAACTGCCTATCATTTGTTGAGATGGAAGGTTTTGATGTTGTTGTTGTTGATCTTGTTGCTGCTGATCTTGTTGTTGCTGCAACTGTTGATCAATAAACTGTTGTTGATGTTGCTGCTGAGAATTTTGTTGTAAAATTTGAGAATTTTGTGGATCTATCTGTTGTTGTTGTTGTTGATGTTCTAAATGTTGTTGTTGTTGCTGCTGCTGTTGTTGGTGATGATGGTGGTGATGCAGTTGTTGCTGCCTCTGCAACTCCATTTGCTGTTTTATAAAGAAATAGTTTTATATGCAATTATTAAATACTCCCACTACTATTGTTAATTAAATCGTACATGAATGAATGACTTGCATTGGCAATAAGCAGCAACTGCACGTCAATGATAATAATTTGCCAAGCATCAATGCATCACTTGAAGAAATGATAAGAACAAACATGAGCAACAGCTAACCAGATCATGCTTAGTGACGAAAGTATCGTTAGGATAAGCCATCCTCATAGAGTTGGAAGACATTGGACGTTGACTGAGGTAGCCAGGAGGAGGAGCGCCACCATCTATCACGCCCATTCCAGAATTTCCCCCGGCCCCGCTAACCATTGAAGAGGGCGTTGAACCCCGGTACATCATCTGTTTGGAAAGTTGTGTGCGTGTGTAAGAAGAGGGGTGTGTGTAGATGTCAGGAAGGAAGACAGATTGAAGTGCAAATCTGTTATTCAAGCTTCCAAAAACCTCACCACAATCGTCATCATCCTCACTCACTCAATAACTAACTGACCTGTCCGACAAGTGGATCGGTACACCTGTATGACATGAGTGGATTCTGTTGATTGGGCAGCCTCTGAGCAGGTCCCCCTATGTAGGGATCGACGGCCATCCTACCTGCATTCTGCATAAATTGTGGGTGCATGCGAGGATGGTGGTGAGGGTGCGATCGGGGAAGGTGATGGTGCATCATCCCGTCGGGTGTTGGGAAGTGTTCCATGAACTGTTGCGGTATGTGTTGTTGTTGTGGGGGCTGGCCTGCTTGCTGTGCATGCAGTTGCTGTTGAGATGGTGGACACATCCTGTGGGCCGGGCTCATGCCTGAATGGCGGTTGTCATCAATCAATCAATCAATCAATCAATCAATCAATCAATCAATCAATCAATCAATCAATCAATCAATCAATCAATCAATCAATCAATCAATCAATCAATCAATCAATCATTCACCAGTTGATAAATTAATTCATTATGTAATTCTGTAATTTGAAAATAGATAATTTTCTTAAGAGTACCAAAAATATTACACAGGCAGCACCCAACTAACCGACAGAATGGTTCATCATGTACAAGGAATTCATCTGCGGATTGCCAAAACTATCATAGGGTTGGCCTTCTGCAATCAAAGAATACAATCATTGAATTCAAGAAAGTAACACTTTCAAAAACCATTAAAAACACTAATTAGTAAAAGATTTGATGAATTTGAGAGCCGACAAGACTAACCATTGGCTGACATGTGCATGTGCGGGTGCATTTGGTTGGGCCCGTTCAAGTCTGCCACCCTCTTGGCTCGCTTCTCTTCCAATTCCTTTGTTATTTTATAAATCTTCTCCGCAAGTAGCGTGTAGTAGGCCTCCTGAATGGATGAATGTGCAGATGAGCGAATGAGGATATTAATCTTTGCCGTTACACACCATCATAGCCATCATCCTCATCAGAAGACAAACCTTGCTAGTTGCACTGTCGTACATATCACCCTCCAGTTTCTTGGCGTACTGAACAAGCGACTGCATTCGATCATTGTTCAGAAAGCTTGGATCTGTGTTCGGAAATATGGCGTTCACTCTGCACAGAAACAAAAAAGGAAAATATTAAAATTTATCAAATTAACTAAAAAATTTTTGAAATTGAAATTTGAATTTATTTAACCATACTAAAGCTACTGTTGCCACTGCATCTGCCACTACTACTACTACTGCCGCTGCTGCTTTCGCTACCACTACTACTTTTAATAATACAACAACAACAACACACGTTTAGACGACATTTTCCCCGAGATCGGGGGTTGCCGTTTGGCTACCTATGATGAAACCGAAATTGAAATTTGAATTTACTACTTTTAATAATAATAATAATAAATTAGGGAACTAACAGTTTTTGCACCAGATGATTTCTAAGTATTGGCTGAATTTGTTGTTGCCATTCTTTCCCTGGCTTTATTTGACTATTATTATTACCACTATTATTATTATTATTATTATTATTATTATTATTATTACTATTTGTATTACTATTATTACTGCCTATGCCCGATATATTATCTGAGGTGGTTGACATTGCAGTCATAGACACTGAAATGGGCAACGATGATGACGACGACGACGACGAAGAAGACGTCATAGTATTAGACGGTGACACGATGTTGTTACAAGCTAGTGATGTCAGTGATGACGTCGATTGAGAATCTGAATTTAGCGAGAGTGAGTTTGGCGTCGTCGTCCTGTTGGAGGATGCTGTTAGCGTTGTCGATAATGATGACGTCAGTGCCGTCGTTGAGTAATTATTAGTGTTGTTATTACTTACGTTGTTGTTGTTATTGTTGAAATTAGGTAAGGATGTGTTTTTAAACAGCTGTAACGTACTACTACAAGTTGTTGATGTGAGCGTTGATGATGTAAATGTCGTTGTTGATATAGACGATGTTGATGACGACGTGTACGGTGTCGTCGACGTTGATAATACACATGAGACTAGCAAATTGTTAGTTGTTGATGACATTAGTTGCTGCTGCTGTTGTTGTTGTAATAATAAATTGTTGTTGCTATTATTACTGTTGTTGTTGTTGATATTGATGTTAATGTCATTTAGGTTAACTTGTTGAGTAGATGGTGTGAGAGGAGAGTTGAAATTCTGTTGAGAATGATGAGGATGTTGTTGTTGTTGCAGGAGTTGTTGTTGCTGCTGTTGAACACCATCCCTTCTTGAATTCTTATGAACAGCTGAGCAGAACATGCACTCATCCCGGTTACAATTTTTCCAATGGGTTATTATTTGCCTCAAGGTTGCACACTTTGGAGCTGTTGTAAATGTAATTTGTTGTAAACATAATTTACTGTTGTTACAAAATATCATCAATACATGGACAAACTTTATTCACAATTATTCTGATAAAGAAATATTCTAGATTGTAATAAAAATCTTGATCAGCAAAGTTCAAAACGAATTTTTAAATCAAGTGCAGAATAAAATAACAAATGATTTCAACAACAGAGGTCTCAAAGACAACCTGCAACCACAACCACAACAACATCAACAAAAAAGACAATAATGAATAGGACAACATCAACAGACCTTTACATGTTTTTCCATCCTTGCACTCCATCATGTGCTTTAATGTCTGCTTCATCATGGCGCACTGCGGCAACTGGCAACCATTAACAGGCGGATGTTGTTGTTGCTGCTGTTGCTGCTGCTGTAGTTGTTGTTGTAGTAGTTGATCATTTTGTTGGCACTTGTGGGCGTGAAGTAGCAGTCGAAGTTGGTTTTGTAAATCTTTTCGTCTCTCCTCTGACAACGAGGCAGCTGATGTCGCCGTCGTCGCCGTCGTCGATGATGCGTTGTTGTTGTTGATGGTGATGTTTATGTTGTTTATGTTAATGTTATTGATGTTGTTGTTGTTGGGCACCGCTGAGGAGTCAGTCGCTTCAGGAGGAACTGCAGGACTGACTGGTAACTGTGAGGTTGTGAATTCATAAGAAAAATTTGGTGGCTGATACGTGCATCAAATCAAATGAAATTCAATCAAATCAGGCTTCATATTAAAAAGCTTTGTGATTGAAATGACAACAACAGATTGAATTAAACTGATAATCAAAATTAATAAATGTATTATGATGGAAGCCCATGGGGAGCAAATTGCTCTACCCAACAGTGGCCATCATTTCCCACAGTACACACACAGAAAAAGTATTCTGGGTGTCAAAACCTTAATTAATGGATTTTAAAAAATTATCTGGCACATGTTCAAACATAAATATACAAAATACAAGCAACATAAGCACATTTTATAAAAACACAAACTTATACAAACAATAAAATTAACACAAATTCTTGTATACATTTATACATATATACATAAATATAAACATGAACACATGCACCAATATTTAATTGTCTTAAGTTTTATTGTGATGATTTTAAGCTATGTTATGCATGTTTTGATAAATAAGCTATGTGTATGTGTGCGTGTGTGTGTGTGCGTGTGTGTAGAGTGCGCTCACATGTTTGTGTAGTGTGCCTAGAGCCAGTTAGAAGAAGCACACTAGAATAGATGGGATTAGCATTCTAAAACTACTCATCATCACCACAATATACTTAACATTAAATAAACACAGATAGATAACATACATTGAATACATTCATATATGCACTGATTCTGAGGTAATTGATATATAATCTATAATTCAGTCAGCCTTTGTATGCAACTAAGTTCATATTCAATCATATACATACCTATGCATATGCAACTATATATAAGCTGATGGTACAACAAATTAGTAACTATAGGATATATCTATAATATTAAATATCAATATATACAAGTATATAAATGAAATAAATACAAATATAAATGTAAATATATATATATATATATATATATATATATATATATATATATATATATATATATATATATATATATACATATAGATGAATGACAAGCAAGTATACAGCAATACATGTCAATGTGCACACACACAATCTATGTATGTATGAGTTCATATGCTGTGTGCTATGTACATAGGATGCATGCCATATAGCATAATGTACAACCACACACACACACACACACACACACACACACACAAACATGTAAGAACAAATATGTTAATTAGGTCATACAACTACAGTTATATACATCTACTTATACACATATAGGCTTAGTTGCATACACACAAACATTATAAACATGTGTGCATACAAATATGTATGATTGTACACTACATAAATCTATTTGATACTAACACATTAAACTAGGCATAATATTTATAACTATCATTATAACATCTCAACTATATGCATATATATATATATATATGCATACACTTGTTACAATATAATGTGTTATACACACATAGATATATAAACAATTACATATACATCTCCAACATTTGCACTAAGATTTTCTTAAAGGCTTACTAGATACAAACATGTTCATGAAGCTAGTGTTACACATGATTCTATGTGTGTATGCTATGCATCTATATCCACTTATTTATTTATTTGTTTATTTACTTTCTTAAACACATTCATCCATTCATTCATCTTTGTGTGTATGTGCGTGTGTGTGTGGTTTTATTGGAGATTAGATCAAGCAATATACAATAGCTAGACAATACATGGTAAATAAACTTAACAACATTTCATGTACAACAATCAATCTAGTATTTCAGTATAAGCCAAAAAATAACAAACAGTTTAACACTTTCTCTAATTCATACATTCAATCAATCATTCGTTCATCAATCATTCATCACATGTGTGCAAATCATGATTGAAAACAAAAACAAGATATTTCACCACCACAGATTAATACAATAAGACACAGTGAAGCACAACAAAACTTTACTAAACAATACAAAAATTTAAGACCACCCTAGTTATACTAGTTTACAAGACACTAAAAAGCTACAAGAAGAACAACAGACACACTGAATATGTACAATTAATTAACTTAGTTAAAGTACCGGCTATACAGAAATGAAAATACTAAGTACCTGTCATTATAAACACAAATGCAGCCTAGCTAGAGACACATCAAATATACACTGAGAAGACAGCACTATAATGGAGAAACTGTACAAAATGAAGTGGAGAAGAAATAATGCCTGACAAATAACTTGGCACCTAGCATGGATAGGTAGATAACAAATCAACAACAGGACACAACAATGGACAAACTAATGAATAAATGACACAACAACCATATAAATCTATAACAGACTGAAAACATAATGCAACAATTTACCAATTCTTAAACTTGAGAAGTTATAATTAATACATGATATATAATATATTAGCATGTAAACAATAACTAAACAACTACCTGACTTGCTAACTAAATTATTAGTATTATAGTATATATACTATAGTTATTATAGTATATATATATTAATATTATTGCTTCATGATATTATTGCTGATTTATTTTAAAAATGACTTCAACCTCAGATACTAAGCCTTTATTACAAATAAGAGGAGAATTGAATGTCTTAAATGAAATGTAAAAAAAGCTTTCAACAGTAATAAATGTTTGCTTGTTGACATATTCAGGAAAAAATAAGATTGTAAAACCACTGATGACTAATTAATTCAGGGTTTGCATTTAAAAAAAAAATACAAGATGAAGATGCATTATTGTGTGGTTATTTAGCAAATTTATTGATATTTTTATGCATATTTGATTGCAAGTTGGAAACATCACATGTGAACGAACTCAAACACAAATATAACATACACATACACTTATGTACAATCAGAGATACACAAAAACATACATACATGGGAGTGCTGTAATCAAAAGAGGGTGCAGTGCCATACAGCAATCAAGGTGAAAGTGTCACAAATGTAGAATGAAATGGATAACAGATTAATCAAGCACATAACATTTAGGGAAAAACTAAAAAATATGCAACAAATTCAAGCAAGCAACCAAAATATGAACTTGAGAAATAAAAAAACAACGACCAACAAACTCAAGCAAAAACATCATCATTCCAAACAAGCAAACAAACAAACAAACAAACAAATAACTAAACTAACCATGCCAGTATCTGGAGACATGATTCCCAGCTTGGAAAGTGAAATATTATTAGGTACATTGGTGGTCGACCGAGGTGTGCCGACATTCAGTGATTCGGGAGACACAAGTCCCACCGATGGAGGGTTCGAATGGATTGAATTGCTGTTGTTGGTGTTGATGTTTATGTTGTTGTTGATTGTTGGGGCCATCATGTGGTTCAAACCCTGACCATCCATGTAGCCCATGGGACCAGCATTGCCATTGTAGAGGACGTCAAGTGAAGAGGATGAGGATCTGTTGGTGGGAAACATACCCCCATTCATCATGCGATGGTTGTTGGTGGTCATGAATTGTTGCATCATGTTCGAACCCATTGGCATGGATTTGTGGCGAGAGAAGTCTGGATGTCGCACGACTGTTGAGTTAGGGTAAGTGTTAGCTGCATTCATCATCATCTGATTGCCGTGATGTGACGCATACATTTGCTGTTGCTGCTGCTGTTGTGTCATGTAGGCCATGTTGTGTGGGGACATTCCCATGCCCGGTCCAACGAAACCTCCCCCTCTTTGCCTGCTGGCCATCATCTGATGCATTGATGTGCTGGCCGACTGTTGCATCATGCCCATGTTTCCATGTCTGAACATGTTGCTGTTGACGTTGTTGCTATTCATCATGGCAGGCATTCCTCTGTTGATCATGTTCATCTGATGAACAGACGGAAGTTGTTGCTGGGGTCGTGACTCGGTTGTGCTCAACAACTGTGAGAGGTTTTTGTTCTTTAGAATTGTTTCTTCTGCTTTTGTTTTAACCATACCTGTAGGTAGCACATCGCTGTTGCTGCTGCTGTTGATGACGTTATTAGTGTTAGTACCTTGAGGTAAGCCAATGTTGTTGTTACTATTGCCGTTGTTGGCATTATTGAAATTAACATTATTGTTGTTAGTAGTCATGTTGTTTGAAGGTGTTGTTGAGTTGGTGCAGGTAACTAACTTGTTCAACTCATCTGGGAGCTCAGAGTTGAATTCACTCATCCAATTTAAATCTTCAAGTGTAAGGAAAAAAAATATTACCTCTCAATTTTTAAAAAAGCAATTAAACAAATTTTATAAAATTGTATTCAAATGAAAAAAAATCAATAATTGAATCGAAAATAAACAAGCAAAAAAAAGAAATAATAGAGAGATTACCATTATCACAAGCGATGATACCTGGTGACGAGCTTCGAGGCTTCTTGTGCGGAGGACCTTCCATTTTTACTAACTAAAATAATTTGATCTAATCAAGCTCAACTAGTCATATTGTTTTTTTTTATTCACTTCTCTATCTAATAGTTTTTGATTGACAACATATCACCTGTACATAAATTTAAATTTATTTTAATTTAAAATTATTAGTTTTAATATTTAATAATTAATAAATAATACAAAAAATGAAAAAACATTCAGATCATGTTATATCTATTTTTTACAACGAGACACTGGGGGCCGATTGATAGGATATATATCAATCGGCCCCCAGTGCAACATGCAAAAACAGAAATGTAAACAAACAAAATAAATTTAGATTCCTAAATGATTGATATTTTACAAAAAAATTAGAGATCCTCAAAGTTTGTAGATACAAACCATCTCATTCAATTCAAAATAATTATCCATTTTCTTTCTCCATGCTGATGATTTCGTAAAAAAAAAACAACCAAATCCTAATTCAACATTAAATAATCTGGGGTTGTTGAATTTCCGTAGATTTGTAATTCACGAAAC